AGTTAGCATCAATCAGTTAAATGACGAAACATTAAGTGTCTATTTACTTGTGACTACTCAGTGTAGGGTATCCCTAGCATGTGTTCGAATAAGCAGTTCTCTCTCTCTCTCTTGATCTTTACGGAACTACATGTTGACAAAGCAGGAGGTTATGCAAATCTGAGAGTTTTAACACTGGTGCCTTCTGCAAACCATTTTTCTTCGTAGAAAGCTTTTCTATTGCATCAATGGTCTCCTCTTTCTTCCTGACAATGATGATCTAACACTGCCTGGTGAGAATCATTTTCAAATGACTACTCAAGTCTTCTAGTCACCAGCAACGCGAACTGAGTTGCGACAATCCGGAGTCCCTGTAGAGAATCCACATAAGTTTCCCAGACACAACTGTTAGGTTCACAGTAGCTGGAGATATTCCGGATGAGCCCTGTGATTGTCTTCAAATTTATAGAACTACTTTATAGCACTTCTCAACTATGCGTATTTCTTCTTTCAAATTATCTTTCCATTCTAAAAACACATGGAGCTTATTAAAAGTCAAAAATATAAAGGTACAACAGTAACTCACACTGGATTTAAACATAAAACATAAAACACATCCATACTCAGAGCACCAAACTTTGTTCAAAATAACTTAGACTGTGATGTAAGTTAACCAAACAAAATTACAAAACATTTGTATGCAAAATGTGAATAAGTTTAACTTGCCTCAAAAACTTTACTTAATAACACATATACAACTGTATATGAATACGCAAATGGCTCATGCCCTCTAGCGTGAATCTGTCTTAACAATTGGTCAGCTATTTCCACGTATAGCTAAAATAACTTAATTTATAAACACAAGCAAAACTCAAGACAATTGCACAGTATGAACACCTCTACGATTCTCACAGGCAACTCTGAAAACTACTGGAATTACATTAAACCATCAAGTGTGCCTACCGATCCAAAAATGCTAAGTCATTTAAAACATTAAAAAAGTCCCATTAACAAGTAGTTAGTAGTATGCTCAATATTTTATAATATGGTTATTGTTAGTTAAGATTGCGTTGCAATTTTTATATTATACATTTGTTATTATTATTTACTAACTGAATTACTTTGTAAAAATTCGTGTTTTTTAACTTAAAGATTGTATACCGTAAAAATAAGAATTGAATATTGAAAGAGGCTCTTTCTACTTTACTGTTTCTTTGATTTGCTGTCAGTAATTCAGTATTACCATCATACGTCATTAACATGTTAATAATTCGCTGAAACTGACTTAAATAATTATCCACTAAGTCAAGCATATGTGAAAATACACGTGTCTGTGATCAAGCTTACAAATGTGTGCAACAGTATATTGGTTTGTGAAGTATGGCATAGGCTGGTGATTAGAGCACACAATTTACAATCTACAAGTCGCAGGTTCGAATCTCGTCATCGAACATACTCTCTCTGTCAACCATGAGAGCGTCGTAATGTGGCGGTTAATCCCACAATTCATAAGGAAAGAGTAGCCCAAGATGCAAATACCATCCCTACTGTCTTGTTATATTATAGGCTAGTTCACCTTATAATAACTGTATATCACAACTTCCTCCCCTTCATCTTAGGCAGTTCTTAATTTAAAATTTTATTTCAATTATAATTTAAAAGTCGACTGAACTTGTTGCAGTAGGATTGTAATCTCATTTTCAGGCAACGCTGGACACCACCATACTTACACGAGACATGTAACACATATATCTTTAACAAAAAAGATACAAAAAGACAGTAAAGGTGCGATTCTGAAAAAAAGGATAAAGTTATTAGATTTATCAGCTTATGTCTGAGACAGCAATCTCCTCTTCCTGTATTTTTAAAGATTGGGTTAGGGAAACTTATTTAGATAGTTCTGAATATCAGAGAAGCACAATCCTCAAAGTCAGCATTTACATAATGGATAGCAATTCTATAACTCGTTTTTTTTTTCGCATTATTCTAGCTATAATTAAGTCAAATCATCATGATTAGTATTTCAACCAGCTTCTTTATTCATTTTTCCAGACTAATAGTATGGACAAGCAGCTTGGGAGAAATTTCTGCACTAGTATAAACCACATTTATTTATTTTGTATTTTGTAAGCAAGCTTACAAACCCCCTTTATGTTTTTTACTCAATAATGATTTTATCTTTTTGTTACTTCACTTCTTTAATTTGTATATAATGTTATTAGGGAATGTTTCCTAGTGCAAATGTAAAAGAAAAAGAAAAATCTAAAAAATTTAATGATCTTGAAGACAAAACCAAATATTCCTCACCGGCGGTTATTTGATTTCTAGATATAGTTGTTGTTTTTTAAGAGTCTCGTGTGGAAAATAACGATCCTAATTAGTTAACGCGTTTTTTTTTTTCACCTGTACTGGTTAAGAAACGATGTTTGCAAACTGTAACGCAGACCTGATAAAGGACTACATCTACGTAACCAAATTCTACCAGATAAATGAATCTCATTGCATTATCCAATATGTTGTTATGTGACCACGAAAAGTTTCAAAACGTATATCCTATTTTATAAGATTTGATGTGATAATCGACAAGATTAAGTAGCTGACTAGAGAAACAAAAGAGAAATGATTTTATTTTTTGTTTTTTACTTAGATGCTGTATAGTACGGAATATCTGTGTGGAATTTGTTTTGTTTTTATTTCAGAATGATAAGGAAAATGTGTTGTTTCTTGAGTACATACCGTTTTAGAAAAGGTGGTGAGATAGAAACCTAACTATAGGCTTGTTTTTTCTTAGAATAAAACATTTCTCAGTATGAATTATTCATGTTATAGCTTGTCAATGTTATAACCCACTGCTGAGTGTTTATAATACTAAAGTATAACACAACGTTTTATTTATATAATAATGTAAATACGAATTTTATTATATTTCACTGAAATATGTAGACTTGGAGATACTAATTCAAAGGTGTCAGTGCAACGTCTGTGTATTTATACCTTGAAAAATCACACTAGTTCGAATCATTATCGTCACTACAAAAACCTTAAACGTTAAAAACTGATTTATCTGGATGAATAGAATTTGACTAGCATCAGAAAGTTTTTTGTGTGTGTGTGTGTGTTTGTTTTTGGAAGATGTCGTATAAACTATGCCTGTTGATTTGATATAAACTGAGCATAGTTCACAAAGATTCAGTCAATATGACCATGCATGCATGTTGGTGTAGCAGTAGGACATTACTTTAAAAGTGAAATATGCCATATCAAAGTTAAGAAAAAGAAGCATTGTTTGACCAATAGCATGTTTTTTGACATTAAATTTAAACAAAATTAACTTGGTGCTATTTATATTACCAGGGTTCATTAAACGAAGTTCAACGAGAATTTCGATTAATTTCGTTCAAAAATATATTTACCATGACCATAATTTGAACAATGTATCAAATTTTCATTAAATAAAAACAGGGTCACATAATACACTTAAATAATATTCTTTCAACGAAAAATCACAAACTTTTTTTTAGCAATAAAACGAAGTTAAACATTCTGAAATTAAATTTCTGAACGTGAAACGTTATTTACTATAAGAAAAAGCAGAAATTCTCAATTCTGTGAGATATCAATGCATTTGCAGTAACTTGTTTTATAATACATAAAGTTTTGAAAAACTAAACATATCTTAACCCTGCGGCTGCTTTAAACGCACGCGGAATTTTTGCCTTACACTGATACCGTCAACTCGAATTCAACTTCTTGAGGCAGACCACACCCTATACAGCGAATCAGCTGTCAATGGATTAAGTCATATATTGATTTCGTGCTGAGTTTTGTTCTCTGAATTTTGCAATTACCCTTAAGCTTACAAATATCAAGTTATATTGGTTCGAATTATTATATGTTCTTGATGTGTTTTATTGTTCGTGCTTGACATACTGATGTGATTTCTTGTCTGTACCAGACGTATTAGTGTGATTTCTTGTCTCTTCTTGGCATATGATATTATTTCTTATCTGTTCTTGATATAGACATTCTTGGTTTCTTGTCTGTTCTTGACATGTTGATATTATTTCTTATCTGTTCTTGATATATATGTGCTTGATTTCTTGTCCATCCATGATATTTTGATGTCATTTCTTG